CGCAGACTAACGGAACAGAATAGGGTGCCTAGAAATGACTCCAAGCATTTATAGCGAACTGATTTTTTTAAAAAGGTGCCAGAACATACACTGGAGATAATGTCTTCATTAAATGGTAGTGGGAGAACTGGATATTTACATGCAAAAGAGTGAAACTTTTTCACAAAAATTAATACAAAATGGATCAAAGACTTAAGTTTAAGACCTAAAACTATGAAAATATTATATAAGGAAAACACTTCAAAACATTGGGGTAGGCAATGATTTTTTTTCAGATAAGCACTCAAGCAAAGCACAGGAAGCAAAAGCTTCCTGAGTCATGAGATGACAGGTGTGTGCCACCATGCCTGGCTTGGTAAGATCTTTAAAATACTTTTCAGATCCTAACTTCTGTTACTTCTGATCCATTTCCAGTAATGGTATTAAGGATGGCTAAATTCTTACATAATCTTGATTGGTTAATGACCCAAAGCACTGATAATGATATTCTGTGAAACAGGAAGGGCTCTGTATAAGTGTGAAGCTTTAGAAAGCTAGTTGTTGGTCTTAGAAGTGTTTGTCAACCTCAGACAAATATTAATGTTGCCAGTGGACAACAAAGCAAAAATTCTATAAAAAAATAAACAAGGAGAGAGATATGATTCATAACTGTTGGTTAAAGATCTAAGAGACTGTAACAAATTTGTATCTGGGATTTAATTACTTTAAAAGCTTATTCCAGAACAATATTTTCCAAAGTACATGCAATGTAATGTTACGAGATGTAACCTGTGAAAAGAATCCTAGGTCAAATAGTTTTGTTATCAGTGGATTATATGTAGTTAAAGAAGCTTATTTAGAATAGTACCAGTGTGTGTTGTAAACCCCAAAACAAGGAATAGGGATATATTATTTCTGTAACTAATCTGACCACAGAACCCTTTTTATTTTTTGTGAAATATCTTTTGGGATTATTATTTGATGGAACACACTTTGAAAACTACTGCCCAAAAGTAATTACTGGGCTGGAGGCATGGCTCAAGTAGTATAGCACCTGGCTAGCAAGTGCAAAGCTGAGTTCAAACCCCCAGTACCACCAGGAAAAAAAAAGAAAGAAACTTCTGACTCCATTTTAATGTTTGTTTAATTAAAATAGCAGTTTACTGTCAATTGTAGGAAAGATATGTAAAGGAAATGATAGTCATTTATACTGAATTATAAACCAAAAATTATATTGTGACTTTATAGTTGCAATCCTGTAAAACTCCAGTTGTTTTCTATCAACTATCTAAGAAGGTACTGTGCTGGTATTTCTCACTTTTCAAAAACCCTATAGGCAACAATCTTTCAACAGGTACTTAAAACCCTTTATGGGGTGGAGGGAAAGGGAAATCTATGATAAATGAACTTCACAGAAACACTTTGAAGTTTTCAAATTTTAACTTATACCATTTGAATAGCTTTGACTTCCAATATGGCCATTTTTTATTATGAAAATTTTTTGCTAGGATATATTCATTTTACAGGGGGGGATTCATAGTGACAGTTCCAATTAGGCTTATATTTTACATTGATTAGATTGTCCCCATCGTCTCTCCCCCTTTACCCCCTTCCCGCCCACTTAAAGCAATTGCAAGAGGTTTGTTTTGTTTCATATAAGTATATGAAGTCAATCAACCATATTCCCTCACCTTAATCTCCTTCCTTCACTCTCTCCCCTCACAAGTATCCCTCAGTCACACATTATACCTATTTTATAGTCCTGTCTTTCACTATTAATATTTAAGTTGATGTTCAAAGGGGTTTCTCTGTGTATTCCCGCTGTGAGTATACTTTATTTTGGTCTGTTCCACCCCTTCCATTATACTCCCTACCCCTTTACTTCCAACACCCCCTTTTTCAACAGCTTTCAATATATTCTTATATCCTCTACCTTCACAGATGTTATGTTTTATGATATTACTGACACTCTATCATTCTCTTTTCCTTTCCCTCTTCCCCCAAGTTCTACAGTCTTTCCACTATTACTAACATGTTCTACATATGAGGTTGTATATGATCATGTTTGTCTTTGTGTATATATTTATCTTTTGGATCTATCTTCCATGTATGAAAGAAAACATGTGGTCTTGTCTTTCTAGGCCTGGTTTACTTTACTTAACATGATGTCCTCCAATTGCATCCATTTACCTTCAAACCACCTGGTATCATTATTCCTTATGGCTGAGTATAACTCCATTGTGTATATATACCACATTTTCTTGAGCCATTCCTCAGTTGTAGGGCATCTAGGTTGTTTCCATAGTTTGGTTATTGTGAATAGTGCTGTGATGAACACTGGTGTATCGGTGTTTCTATTATGAATCTTTCCGTGGACACATTTTTGTATCCATTAATTGTTTGGTTGCATTGATACTGTTAGTTGATACAGAACTGAACTGACAGTGCATTGTAAATTAATCATGGCTTCTTAGGCCTTACTACCACAAGTAACAGGAATTTACCAAATTCAGATGCAAGATACTTGTCTCTGTTGTATGTAAGTGGTAACAGAATTATGGTTTGCCTAAACTCTAAACTACTGGTGGGAATTCTTGTGGAAAGGGACAAAGGATTAAGGGCAAACAATCCCAAGAAATATGGGAAGGTAGGCTGGAGTAAGCCAGGGAGGGTGTGTTGGTTACATCTGTTCCTATTGCTTTCTTTTTATGAGTGACTCAAACCAACCTGGTGCCAAGCCCTACACTTGGAATCATTTTTAAAATCACATCTTCCTATAACTGTGTTGATTTCATCACCCAAATCTTTGTCTAGTCTTCTTTTCTACTACTAGTCAGCTGAACTGTGAAATGAAACAAAGTAAGTTGTTTAGGTGTCAAAATGGCTGACTATCAGCAAGCCACTCAACCCAAAGCCTTAATTCAGCTCTCATCACCTCTCACATATAGTTTTTGCTGTAACTGTTCTTTCTGATTCTGTTAGACTCATCTTTCTAAATGATGATGCTCTACTGGTTAATACCTTTTACTACTTCTCCAGCAAATCAAATCCATACACCTAATATGGATCACATGGCACATAGTCCATCTCAATCTCCAGTGCTCATCCTTTCCAGCCACTGTCTATGCACTCCATGCTTCAGCAGTACTGCCACATTTATATTTTCTCCTTAAAACTCCTCTGCTTTACGTCCCTATGCCTTTGTGCACTCATCTCTGCCTGGAAAGGTCCCTCCTGACTTTCTCTCCCCTGGGAGATTGCTAGTAGACCTACAAAACACCATCCCTTCTGAGATACCATCTTAGGCATACCAGACAGCATTGGGTATTCTCTCCTCTACTTATACCTACATGGCATATGTGCCCTTATTGCTGTACTTAGCAAGCAATTTTTGTATCTCGCATAACAGTTAATTCCTTTGAAATGACATTATACTTTATATTACACTACAAGCACGTAAATACTTGCTTAAATTAAATGAATTAAGTTAAACTGAATGAATGGGCCTGAGAGCAGTTTATGATGGAATAAGATGAAAGGGGTACCCAAGGAGATCATTTTGTCATTCATTCTTCTGCTGCTTTTTTTTTTTTGGATGGCACCAGAGTTTGAACTTAGGGCAGCATGCTTACTAGGCAGGTACTCTACCACTTGAGCCATTCCACCAGCCCTTTTGTTGTGTTGGGCTTTTTGGAGATAGGGTCCTGGGAACTATTTGCCCAGGCTAGCTTCAAACTACAATCCTCCTGATTTCTGCCTCCTGAGTAGACAGGATTATACGCATGAGCCACTGGCACCTGGCTGCCATTCATTCTTGATGCTTTCTGTTTGGCCAACATACTACTTGGTCCTGTCTTAGTGTTTCCGTGAAAATGTACAGGCTCTTTAACTGGTCTGGGTGAGACAGGCAATAGGAAAGTCTGGTTAAATAGTAAGTAGGGAAAGATCTCAAGATGTAGCATCTGGTAGAGACCACTCTTATGAGCCAGTGAGGATAGCTATGACGAAGTCTGTTATTTACATGAAAGAGACTTAACCCAGTGAAGGAATACCTTTACTTTTTTTTTTTCTATTCTCTTTTCACCTTCTTTCTTACTCTCTCTCTCTTTGGTGGGATTGGGAGCTTAGTGCTTGCAAAGGAAGTGCTCTAACTTTTGAGCCATACCTCCAGTCCATTTTGCTCTGGTTATTTTGGAGATGGAGTCTCACAAACTATTTGCCCAGGCTGGCTTCGAACTGTGATCCTCCTGATCTCAGTCTCTCAAAGAAGCTAGGGTTATAGGGGTGAGCTGCTGGCACCGGCCCCACCTTCTCTTACAGAACAGATAAATGAATGAAAATGCTGGCAAATTTGAATTCTAAACTGACTTCTCATATAGAAAAAAATAAAAGGCACAGATAACCCAGGTTGTAAATCAGCTGCTAATCTGCTGGACTGGGTTCTCATCACTGTGATCTTTTAAACAGTTTATTTTGTTCATTTATTGATTACCTACTATGTGCCAGTAGCTACTAGGCTGGACACTGCCATGAAAATGGGGTGGGTATCATTTATTATCTGCATATCATTTAATTTCTAAATACTAGCAGCTAACTTTGGCTAGTGCCTGGCACACAAATGTCTGACACTGATGCTGGTGATGGTGATTAAAAAAAACAAAACAAAACAGCAGCAACAGCTAAAGCAACAGCAGCCTCCCACTCAGTGGAGGTAGCAACTGGGCATGTGTGCACACATGATTTCACTGAATCCTCACAACAATGTGAAGTAGGTATTATCCCCGCTATTATATATTAATCTACCTAGATGTGAAGAGACCTGACCATTTAAACAGTAGGGATCTAACTATCTCTGTTTGATTCCAAACCCATACTCCTAACCCTAATGGATGAGAACTAAATAAAAAAGCTCAATCTTCATTTTTCCTCAGAATTATTGATTAGCCTATTCTATAAGAGACATAAAAATACAAGCATATGGTGTAGGATTTACAAGCAGGATGGCTTCTTTGGGAACTTACTTTTGATTTACTGTGGCGTATGAGGGCAGAGAGGAGTCTGTTGGACTCTCCCATCACGCCAGCATGATCTTTGGCTTCGCACCATTCCACCAAACGCTCCACTAATTTCACATTCTTTCCCAGTTGTTCAGCAGCTTCTGCTATAGGAAAGAAGGCAAACCAAAAAGAATGAATCACTGACAGGCAATCAGCTGAAATAATTGTTAAAGATGAAGGAAGGCAGAGGGAAATGACATGTCTAAAAACCCAGCAAGCACTGTGAATACTCCTTACCTGATGATGGGCTACTTGGCTTTTTTTGTTTTAAATAAAAGTTACAGACTTTCACACAAAATACAAAAGTAAATGACTTCATACTCTTATGGTTAAGTCTGTTAGTGCTCTGGTACAATGTAACAAAGGATTTTTAAAAGGACTTGAAGAAATCAGTACAGAAAAGGGTTTAAGAATTTAGAAATGAGTAAATAAACATAACTCATTTCTAGGAATGGGTTTTATTGCTGTTTCTTCAAATAGAAAAAAAATGCTCTTCCTGTCTGTAAAACAAATTTAAAATTTTTTTATTGTTGCTGTACTGAAACACGACGTTGAAGATATTAGAAATGGCAACGGAATGTCAAAACACAAAAACCCTCTGGAACTGATAAAAAAATCAACATAAAAGCAGGATTCTGTATACTAATATAGAGAGACACAGTATAACTTCTTGCATTTAAAGTCAGCTACAGACAAGCATGAAAATTACTGAATGGGGTTCCAAATCAATCTCTTTTTAACTTTTATTTGATGACTATGTGATTTTGAAAGCTAAAGAAAAGTTCTTTTTAAACTAGAAGCACATTAGGAATAACACACCAAAAATGCAACTTGGGAAAGCATTTTGTTTACCTTGTGCATCTATTAACATTCTTAATGTTCCCAGAAGTTTGAACTGAACTGGAGGCATTTCAGATTTAAGGAATTTCAAAACTGCCTCTGTGACCCCAGCTGATAACATCTTTGCTTTATTTACAACTAGAAAGAAAGACAAAAGGACTCTGGTTAAAATGGTGTTAGCATTCTTGATGACAAAACATTCAACTCACATTGTTGGTTAGCTTTAAGGCCCCATGATATATTGTTTCTACTTTAGAAAAAGTCTTATTACTTGCCTGTAAAATTTAAGAATGGAATTGGGTGTGTGTGTCTAAGTATTCTGTTTTTCTACAGGAGCATAAAATACACAATCATACTGTTAGTTAAAACCCAACCTCAAAACATTTACTTTATTTAATTTGTAATGGAAATCCAAAAATGTAGACTTACTTACAAAAAGTGCAACTCCTGAACTTAAATGTTTCTCTTTATCTGTCCTTGACTCAACTGTGTTAATATAAATGTGATATACATTAATAAACTATTAATGTTATATGAAGCAAATTACTACTTCATATTGCTACACTATTTCGCCTTATCAGAAATTTACTTTTAGAAAGTAGAATGAAAGAATAGTTCTAACTATCAACTGAATTATTTCCCACGATAATGTGATAGCCTGGCTGCAAAACCTTTAATCCAAGGACATGTTAAGGCTGTATTTTAAAAACCATGTATCTGCTTTTAAGTGGGAAACCCCTCAAAAACCTTAAAACATCATTCTTTAGGGGACTCTGTTAATCAATTGTTAGTATTTTACCGAGAAGATGCTTAAAAAGTTTAGGAGTTCATAAAAGATAATAGAATATTTGCTTTTTAAAGTAAAGATTATTTTTGTATAGTGTCAGAAAGCTTAAATATCCTCTCCATTCATTAGTGAGAAAAATATTAAAAATCTGAAGACTATTTTTTTCCTTTTCTTTGTCAGAAAAGCCTCACGAATCACCTATGTATTTCATTTTCCACGTCACTGCCTCCCGCCTTTGAGCCTTACCTGGGATGGCCAGATTTCGGAGGGCACTGAGCGCTGCATGCTGCACAGTTACATTGCCATCCTCTACGTGTCTGTCCAGCAAATCCATCAGTTTTTCTACGATTCCATTGTCTACCATGTGAATACAATTTCCATCTGAACAAAACAAAAACAGTTTTCTTTCTCTGTAAAATTGTCTATGAATATTTTCTAGGGCTGATGCCTACGATCTTCATTAGGGAAAATGGATTATTCCAAAATAAAAGGGATCCCAGCACTCTCTTGCATCAGACTTACATATTCTTTTTTTCTGTTTTCTGAGTGAGAAGTTTAGTGATAAAAATCCTTGAAATGGGTAAGAATTTAAAAATCAGAAAAAGTCTCTACCAGTCTGATTACATATCAGGAAATAAGTACAAACTATCTGCTCAAAATGTTCACACTTGTTCTCACTCCCAGAGAGGGGTGCTACATTCTGCCACAGTACAATAACAGCTGTCTAACTTTTGTTATCATGGCTGAGACTTAAATGATTTTTCAAGGAATTTTTTTTGAACATTTACAAAACACAAATTATGATGAAATATTTATTACACATTTAGATTCAGTAATTACCAATACTTTGCCAATCTTAATGCAATCATTAAGGAGTTATTCCCAAAAAGAAGGGAATGGAAAAAGGGTAAATCGACACAAATCTAAAAATCCGAAATCTGAACTGCTCCAAAATGCAAAATTTTTTTGATACTGACATGATGATACAAGGAGGAAATTCCACAACTGACTTCATATGATGGATCATAGTCAAAATACAGGTGCACTAAAAATACTGTATAAAATTATTTTTAGGCTATGTGTACAATGTGTATAGGAAATAAAAACAAATTTCATATTTAGACTTGAGGCCTGTCACCAAGATATCTCATTATGTATATGTAAATATTCCACAATCCAAAAAAGTCTGAAATCTGAAACTTTTCTAGGCCCAACCATTTTAAATAATGGACACTGTGGAATAAAATCAAACCATAAAGAAAGTAACACATTTTTCCTGTACACAACATGACTTAACAGAATAAAACAATAGGAATGCTAGATTTCATAAATAAACTGAAGTCCAGTATGGGGCCTCTGAAATATTATTAAACTAAATTTAATATTCCACCCTAAACCAAAAGATTGTTCCTGAATAAGTTTTGTGGGCACAGGAGTATAAACTAGAACCCAAGTACCATAGACTGAACACCCAGTTTATTAACACCAAAAGAAAATCAACAGGAAAAAAAGAGTACACTCCCCCATCAGATGCAGTTTATTCAACTCTAAAGTGCAAAGTATTAAAAAAAAAAAAAGAAGCACTTCATGATCATTGTTCATGATCTTTAAACTATCAGTATTTAGTTAACATTACATAAAATGTGCAATTTGTTAGCAAAGTGATTATAAGTATTTCTAATTTCTGGAAAATTAAGGAAGCAGCATGCACAAATTTCTGAACTCTTTTAGTACATGTGATAGATAACAAGGCAATGAAAAATTTAAAAATGCAAAACACCTGATTTACAAGGGAAGAACTAATGTGTTTACCATTTCTGGCAAAATTTGCAATTGCCAATGCTCCAGCAAGCTGTAGCTGGTGGTTATTTGATGGAATCCAAGAAAGTACCCTTTGGAACACGTTGCCTTTTCCTCCTTCAAATAGCTTCTGCATGGATTCATCTGGAGGTAAATGAAACCAATAGTTAGTTACACAAGAAAAATATAATTACGAGTAACAAATCCATGTTCCTTAGTGATTATCTACCTGGGAAACTACGTACCTCACGAACTATTAAATTCATAACGGGAAAGGTAATGACTCTTTTTATAAAGCAGAGATTAGACAGCAGAATTTAGAATTTTTCTAGTCTAAATTTCCAAGTAACCATCTAGTTTTTAGTCCTTTGGTGCCACAGCTGTCTCTTTTATATGACAGCTCTTCAAATACTGGAAGATAGCAAAGAATTGTCTTTTTCAGGTTCATCATCTCTGTTCTTTTGATGTAATTAAGATTTCAGAATCATTACATCAAAAGAAGTGAGATAGGAAAATGAGAAAATGCCTACTATGGTACCTACAGAAGGGACAATTCATTAAAATGCTGCCAGTCATATTCTTTGGCATAAATTACAACTCACCTCCAAGAAGTAATAAAACCATGAGATCTGATGCAGTTTTAAGCTCAGCAACATCATCCTCTTTGTCACTATCTACCTTCTGCTGAACAATCTCTAGAAGACACTCTACCAGGCCTGCTTCAACCAGCTGTAGTTTAATAGCATCTGAAAAACAATGCGAACAAAACAACCTGAATTTTACATGAAATAAGAGCTCTGGTATAAGCGATCCATTATGAAGAACTGGAGGAAATTAGGGAAATACACAATCTAGCTAAACGACCTTCATAGATTTGAGTTTCAAAATGAAGTCTAAGACAGTGCAGCTTAAACACAAAAGCTTTATTTCATTTTTCTGTTCAATTATCTTTTCACCATGTCTTGAGCAACAAATACCACTATTATTCTAGGTATTATGCTTATGTTTAGCAGGTGATACTATAAAATATTATATACTGTAAGTGCCTACAACATACATATTTGTTAAATAAAGTTAAAATACATCCACTCTGGCTCTTGAATACAAAGCAAATGAAAAGTAATGAGCTTTTAGTAAATTTCAACCTACATCACATGTATCGTTAGATCCTATTTGTATAGATGTTAATTTTCTAGTGAGTTATCTGTAACTTTATGAACTTGGAAAGTCATACTCTGAAAAATGGCTTCAAATTTTCATTCATTTAAAGTTTTTTTGGGTCATGGGGTACCTGGTGGTTCATTACACAAAATCCTATTCCTGAATATGTCTTTAAATGTTCATCATAAAGTTGAAAGGAAAAAAAAAATACTTCTGAAGGTTAACCAACAAACCAAGGTATTTTAGAAACAAAATTCATATCCCAATTACATTTTTTAAAGAAGTGATCTTCATAGCAAACTCTATCCCCACATTAAGTCAAATTTTTTTACATCCCTAATGCCTTAAATATTCTTTCATTACAGCATTCACTTGTGGAAAATCTTACATTCACATACGTACCTTGTCTCCTGTGAGAGCAGACCTATCTTGTTAATCTAAACTGACCTATCTTAATGCTTTGGCTATATTCCTTAAGATAGATGCCCACTAACTGACCTCAGAAATACATCTGCTATAAAGAAAAATTTAAATTAAAAAAATTTCACTTGGATTTTATTTTAGCCATTGTTTTCCCTAAGCTGTGTACGTACTCATGAGTGTCAGCTTGTCATTTGGAAGAAACAAAGACTTTCTCTTTCAGGCAGTTGTATTTTTATTCTTTGGTAGTACTAGGAATGAAACTCAGGGCCTCGTGTCTTTTAGGCAATTTTAATGTGTAAAAATTTATCTTTTTAGCTGGGCACTGGTGGCTCTAGCTACTCAGGAAGCAGAGATCAGGAGAATCATGGTTTGAAGCTAGCCAGGCAAATAGTTTGTGAGACCCTATCTTGAAAACACCATCACAAAAAAGGGCTGGTAAAGTGGGTCACAGTATAGGTCCTGAGTTCAAACTCAAGTACCACAAAAACAAACAAACCAGGACCAATTAGCACCAGGACCACTAATTTTTCTTTAAATATTATCTTAAAATATATAGAAGTCAACTGGAATGCAATGCTTTTTTAAAAGGCATACTTGTACACTAGGCCATGCTTAAAGTAGGGCATTTCCTTGGTTACAGAATGCTATGGGAAGAAATGTGTGGTAACTAGAATGGAAAAAAAGGATTTAAAAAAAACCCTTAGAAATGCTAAAAACCTTGAACTACACAAATCCAAACATATGTTAAAATTACTCTTCTTTGTATACCAAAGGAATATCCAGAAACAAGTCTTCACAGAGATCACTCAATGCACTGTACAATTATAGACTGAGGTAAAGGTGGAGGAGAAAACAAAAAATAAAAACCCTGTTACATTGAAATACTGTAAGGAAGGCTACAGGTAATTCTCTGGCATAAGCACTGACTGAAGATCATGATAACATTTTCATTTTGCAGAACCACCAAATAAGATTAAAAACAAATTTCTCCCTGAAGAATAAGATCCAAGGCATATAGAAAGTGAAGCAAGTCAACATTAAAGATTACAGATCTCAGAACAGGTCCTGCCTGGGGGTGCTGATACCAGTGGGAGGGGAGATGATGTAGGGAAAGGGTGTAGGAAGGTGAATATGGTGCAAATACTGTATACACAGAAATATAAATGGAAAAATGAGACCTGCTGAAACTATTCCAGGAATGAAGGGAAGACGGATAAAGGAGAATTATGGAGAGGATGAATTCAACTATATTTGATGTATTGTAAGAATTTTTGTAAATGCCACGATGTATCCCCACCTAGCACAATAGAAAAAAAAAAGATTACAGATCTCTCTTCTTACATCTGTCTCCTAAATAAATTTAGATTGCCTTAATTGGGATCAGCAAAGCATTCTGCAAAGCAGACAGTCCAGCACACTTATCCACACTATTCTGTTCAAGAGTACCAATCTTTGTCATTACTGTTTGCATACATATTTATGCACATGTGTATGTATATCATATATTTACAGGTAATTAAACAACCTGTATTAGTTTTTCATTGTGATAAAACACCTGACATAAGCAACTTAAGGGAGGAAGGATTTATTTTGGATAGTTGTGTCAGTTGCTCTTGGCAGGGAAGGCAGGGTAGAGCAGACCAGCTCACATTATGGTGGCCAGAAAGTAAAGAAAGTAAATGCCTTCATTACTGGGCTTTTTCCTTTGTTCCCTTTCATTCCATCCTGGCCCCCAGCCTGTGGGATTGTGCCACCCACCTCTGGAAGGGGCTTTCCCTCTTGGTTAATCCTCTGTGGAAATGTCCTCACACATGTAACACAAGTGTGCTTTACTATGCACTTCTTGTAAGCCAATCAAAGTATCGATCAAGAGTAATCATATTTTTAAAAAATGGAGCCCCACCCTATAAACGCAGAAAAGTGTGCAAAACATACATATTAAGCATAGTCAGGTATCAGAAAGCAAATTACTATGATCTATCATCTAGATCAAGAAATCAACTGTCAGTAATCCAGGAAGCCCCTCTACATTTCCCTTTCTGATCACAAGCTCCTCCCTTCATTCCTCCCAAATCTACCCAGCTGTTATCATGATTATTTCAATACTTCCACAAATTAGCAATCATTCTTAAAAACTAGCTTAGAATTACCATTTTCTAAATTTTATAAAAATGGAGCTGCACAATATACATTTTTAAAGTGTTGGCTTTTTCCATTTGGTATTAAAAGATTCAAGCCAAGTGTGTGGTGATGCATGCCTAAAATCCTAGCACTTCGGAGGGGGAAACAGTTGGATTTTGAGTATAAGGCGCCAGCATGGGATACATTTTGAGTTCAAGGCCAGCCCCACCTACATGAGACCCTGTCTCAAAAAACAAAACCAAACATACACACTGATGGCTACAGCTGTCTTCGTTCCTTTTTTTTTTGTGGTACTGGGTTTGAACTCAGGGCCTCACATTTGCTAGGCAGGTGCACTACCACTTGAGCTCCTCCAATAGCCTTCGTTCTTTTCATAACTGTATTTTTTGCATTATGTGACTATGTCATGATTTGCGGACTATTTTTAATAGACAAGGATTGGTTCCAATTTTCTGTTGTTATAAATAATTCTGCCACGAACGTTCCTGTGTTTGGCTCCTGGTGCACATATGCTCAGGTGTCTTGTCATATTTCAAGAGTGAATTGCTGGATTAACAGGATAATATATCTCTCCAATCTCAGTGGACATTATTTTCTAACCAATTTCCACTCTCACCAGCACTTACTGACAGCTCCCACTTTTCCATACCCTCATTGACACTTGGTATCACCAGACTATCCATTAGTTTCATGACAGTATCTTATAGTGCATTTATTTTGCGTTTACTAATTATTATGAGATCGAGTCTATTTTTGTGCTTCTGATCATTTGGATTTTTATGTTTTGCCAAGTGCCTATTCAAATCTTTCGCACATTTTCCTATCGGGTTTTCTTTCTCTTTTTTGTTTGGCGGCAGGACCTCACGCTTGTGAGGAAGAAGCTCTACCACTTGAGTCACTCCAGCAGCCCAGGTTTACTTTTTCTTAATGTTTTGCATAAGTTTTTTAATACATTGTACACAAATTTTATAAATACAATCTCTCACCCACTGCCTTGCTTTTCACTCTTCATTTGTCTTTTGAAAATGGGGGTTTTTACTTTTTTATTTTTATTTATTTAGATACAGGGTCTTGCTATGTAGTGCAGACTGGCCTTGAATTCACTATGCAGCTTGAACTGACCTCAAACTCACAATTCTTCTGCCTTCCCCTCAAATGCTAGCATTATAGGTGTGCACCACCAGCTTGAGGAAAAGGTTAGCAAGACCCCATCTCAACCAAGAAAGGACTGGTATGATGGCATGTGCTGTCATCCCAGCTACTTAAGAAGCAAAAATAGGAGGAAGTCTATTTTTTCCAGGCTGGCCTGGGTATAAATTTGAAACACTATTAGAAAAATATCTAATGCTAAAAGAGCTGGGAGGCATGGCTCAAATGGTAGAGCACTTCTTTTGCTAGTAAGCATAAGGCACTAAGATGAAACCTGAGAATACGGCAAAAAAAGAAAAGTTAACGTTCTTTTGAACTGACTATACCATAATCGTATTATCTATGAATAATGAGTTTATATTTCTCCCCTCTTCCTTCACCAGATAGTTCCTTCCACATAATAGTGAACAGAAGCAGGGAGGTTCTCACTTCCAATCTCACAGGAAGTGCTTTTTATTTAATTATCAAGTGTGATGTTTTCCATGGATTTTTGTCCGGCATCCTTTCAGATTAAAGAAATTCTTTCCTAGTGCTGGTTTGCTAAGAGTTTTTAAAAATCATGACAGGACAATTTTATCAAATTTTTTAAAAATTTGAGATAATATTTCTCTCCTTTCCTTTTTTAAGGTAATGAATTACACTGATCATACTTTTCACATAATGTAGTTTGGTATGATTGTCTTAAATGTATTCCTAGGGTTGATTTGTTACAGTCTGGGGAGTAATTCTGGAGCTATGCTCATGATGAAACTGGTGTTTAATTTTCTTTTTTCTTTTTGCAGTACTGGGGTTTGAACTCAGGACCTCATGTTTGCTAGGCAAGTAGATACTCTACCACTTGAGCCATGCTTTTGGCCCTAATGTTTGTTCTTACATTGTCTTTGTAAAGTCTTCTTTATTCTTGCTAAAATGAACTGGTAAGTATGTTTGCTTTTCCTGTTTTTTGGAAGAATTTAAGGTGAAATTACTCAGTTTTCCTATTTCATCTTGAGTCATCCTCACTTTATGTCTTGGATCCTCAGTGTCTGTAAGATTTGTAGGAAGGTCTCCTTTTGCATTCTTGATTTGGGTTATGTATGCTTTCTCTTTTTCTCTGATTCATCTTACTCTATGTGTTTACCAATTTTATCAAGTCTTTTTAGTCTCAACTTTGGCAATTTGATGCTTGTGGTGTGTTGCACATTTTCTGCTTTATTATTTTTAGCTCTTTATAGTTCCTTCATTCTGCTGTGTTGGCTTTACTTCACATTTTCCCCTAAATTCCTAAAATGAGTATAGCAAATACATGCAATGAAAGCAAAACACTTCCCTCTGATTATAGCTTTACCTACACCATATAAAATTTGAAACAGATTTGACACAGTATTTAATTTTCATTTTAAGAAAAAAATTTGATTTCTTCTATGATTCTTCTTTGACCTCTGAGGCACTGGAAGTATATTTCTTAATATTAATGCAGATATTTATTTATGCTTGTTTTTTTGACACAGGGTCTCCCTACATAGTTCAGTCTGGCCTTGACCTCATGATTCTCCTGTCTCGGCCTCCTAAAGTCTGGGATTACAGATGTGCACCACCATACCTTGAAAATGCAGACATATTTCTTAGGTATCTATTATTAGTACTAGATGATTCACTAAGGTCAGAAAATACCCTGGGTACCTTACAGTACTTTGAAACTTGTTAAATGTATTTTTGTAACAAGTATGAATGTTCATAAAATGTACACTTAAAAAGATCAGGGCCTGTAGTTAGGTACAATATTCTACAATATATCTTATCTTTATCATGTTACTCAAATTTTCTACATCATATTTTTACCTGCTCATTTTGTAAATTACTGAAACATCCTATGATACTTGTGGATTTGTCTATTTCTACTCACACCTGTGTTTTGGGAGAACTGTATAATTTCCTTGTCTTCTGGTAAACTGGCCTTTTTCATTACTATAGCTGCTTTAAGTTTAGCAAGCCTTTTAATCTTTGTGTTGTTTTATTTGACATTTTTATAATATTAATACCAATATTTATTAATATAATTATAACTATGATATAATAAGACTATTTCAGCCTCTCAGCCTCCTTTAGGTTTGAATGGTAGATTTTTTTCCCCATCTTTTATTCTCAATCTTTTAAATCTCATATTTAAAGTATGTTTTAAAAGTATAGATGCTTTTTAAAAAAATCTATTTGGCAATTGTTCTTTTAATTAAAGCACTCAGGCTATATGTATCACTACATGTAGTAATTGCTATATATATTATATATTTAATTACTAAAATACTGTGTCCTAGACCTATAATACTTTTATTCCCTATTTTATCCCACATACCATGTTCCTTTTTCTCTCCTCACTTCTCATTTTGGATTGTTTAGATGTTTAAAAAAAAAACTATGCATAAATCTTTCCAATAGTTTGGTAGTCACATATTATTTTTAAAAATTATTTAGTACAGTGGGCACAATGGCTTGGAGAGTGGGAGGTTTGCAGTTCAAGGCCAACTCTGGCAAAAATATAGCAAGACTCCATCTCAACCAATAAGCTGGGCATGGTGATGTGTACCTGTTGCCCCAGCTACACAAGAGACATTAACAGGAAGATTGCAGTCTAGGCCAGCTCAGGCAAAATGAGAGACTCTAGCCAGAAAATAAAGGAAAAAGGGCTGGGATATGGCTCAAGTGGTAGAGTGCCTGCCTAACAAGCACAAGACCCTTACTCCAAATCCTGCTATTGCCAGAGGCATGGGTGAGGATTATTTTATTTTAGTAGTCCCCTTAAAAGCTGAAATCATTGAATAATCAGAGTCAACCAGTACCTTCTTAGAAATGATTCAAGGGTTCTTTTCTTTCCATTTTTGGTCTTTTACTCTCCCTTGTATCTATATCATTTCCCTTCTATCTCAAAATTTATAATTTTCTATGTGATTACATACTTTTGGACTTGCTCAGTTTTCAATCTGAAAACCTTTGCTTGTTTTCCATTTGGAAGGGTAGGTCTATTGGGTTTAGAATTCTAGGTGAGCAGACACTGACCTTCGGCACATGGAACACACTGTCTTACTGCTGTCTAGCTTTCATTGTTGCTGTTGGGAAGTTAGTTGTCAGTCAAACTGCTGATCCTTAAAAGGTAATCTTTTTTTTTCTTTTTCTGGCTAATTTAAGCATTTTTATTGCTGCATTTTCAATATAATTCAGTTAGCTGTGTATTTCTTCTTGTTTAAGTGGTTTGAATATCCCCATCAAAATTCATGCTGAAATTTAATTTCCACTGTGAGGTATCAAGAGGGTAGAGACTTTACCCAATTGTGTTATCTGGAGGTGGAATCTTTGGGAGGCAATTAAGATTAAATGGGGTCATAATGGGGAGGACTAAAATTAAATGGGGGCTTTGCATACATGTAATCTACGCATATAACATATAATTATGTGAGACCATCGGTTTGTAAGAGGAATCTGCCTCACCGCTTATGTCCGGCAGAGAATTCTCACCAGCTTCATCAGAAACACTGCCGATCTTGAATTTCCAGCTTTCAGAACTGTGAGTCGAATAAAGATTCTTTGTGAAATTTTTCAGTCTGTGATATTTAGTTATAGAAAGGGAAATCAGACTAAGACATCTGTCATGATTTTGGTTCAATGGTCTTCTTGAATCTTCGATGTCTTTCATAATTTCTCTGCGAAAATTTCTTCAAATGGTGCCTCTGCACTGTCATACCCCACCCCACCCCCAGTTTCTACTCTTCCAGTACTCAAAATAAATGTACACGAGAGACCCTCACTTTAGTCTTTGTACCTCATTTTATGAGTTTTTTTATTAGCGCATATTAATTATACAAACTGGTTTCATTGTGGTGGTCCTCTTTTTCTTTATACTTCACTCTGGATTTTCTTTCCTATCTTTCAGCTCACTGGTTCTCTATGTCAATTATATCTAATATGTCATCAAACCCTCCATTAAGTTCTTAATTTTGTTTGAATTTTGGGATTCAGGAATTTCCATTTTTTTTTCCAATTCTGCTATGTCACATTTTTCTAGTTCCTACTTTCCTTCCAAAAATTTAAAGCTTGCTTTTAACCCTTTGAACACCATAAGCATACCAGTTTTGATCAACTTCTAGTAATTCTGATATCTGGAGATTTGTTTCTATTGTCTGTCCTTTGTGCTGGTTCTGGCTTGTAATGGCTTGTCTCCTCGTGTCGCTGATCCTCTTTGAGTATGTGCTAGACACTGTATTTGAAAAATTATTCCTCTGTGTTGGTTTGTTTCCTTTGATTCACTGTCTCCTAGGGTGCCTACTTTAAGGTGTCTTTGTGTGAAAAAGGGTGTGGTTTACCAGAATCTTCATTGCTGGTAGGTATGGGATTTCAACTTTTATTTACCACAGTAACAGAAGTGGAGCTCAGCCTCTCAGCTGCCTTTCCCACACTGGAACAAGAAGACGTTCCAGAAGCAGAGTTTTTGCCGATGTAAATGTAGTAACGGAGTAATGATACAGCTGAAGCTAGAGGTACCGAAGCAAACCTAACACATCAATAAGACTAAGAAGGTTTCTGAGTCAAGAACTGACAGTTTAATATTAGAAAACAATCTGAAAAAGTCCACAGAACCACAAATCAAGAGGTGAATTTTCTTCTCACCATTTTCTGCCAGTGGAGCCAGAACTTCAAAAATCATTTCTCTCTTATCATGCTCTATTTGTTTCTTGAAGAGTTTTACAAGCTCTTCAGCAATGTTTGTACTGGCAAATTGTTCTTTACTTGACTCTGAAAAAATAAGAAAAATTTAGAATAAGCAAACAAAATTAAAGCCAGAAATTTGTTGTCTATTACTTTTAACACTTAGTCATTTTATACCATTACTAAACATAAATACTCTTCAAATACAGGAACAATCAAATTGATTTTTAATGGTCCTAAAATTTGAAAAGGCTTTAGAGAAAAATGTTCTGACCCAATTACATTTGAAGCTATAAAAATATTCACTAGCATAACATATAGGTAACCATAGCAACAAAAAAGAATTACTAAGCAATAAATGCATAGTTTCTTCTTTTAAGAAAAGAAGAAAAATTGTCCATGACACTGTAATTTTATAGTTGAATAGAAAATGACACCACGTTATCTTTAGTGTTGCTCAAGTGTTTTTGCACTGACATGACTACTACATTTTTGCTTGTTTTTGCAATGCTGGGGACTAAACCCAGGACATTATGTACACTAGGTAGGCACCATCCCATTCAGCTATGCCCACAACACCATGACAACTATTTAAGGGCCAATTCTTGAAGCTAATTCTTTAAAGTACTAGCGGTCTCATTTCCTGTGCCTTTTCAGCATGTCCAACCTTCCCCCCAACTTTTCTAGAGCTTCAATTGTTAAATAGGCTAATTTCTCACATAAAAAAAAAAAAAACCTTCCCTCTACATCACCTCCTTCAACTACTATTGTATTTCGTTCACTTTTTACTAAGTTTTTTGATAACACTGTTTTCTGTACACTGATTCTACTTTCTCAACTCACATGAATTCCTAAATACTAGTTACTTTTTGTCAGAAAAAAATGCAATGTTAAATAACAGAAATGTGTATGGTTTTGCTCCCTAAAAATTTTTAATAACTTAAAGATAAATTAGGAAATAATTTAACAAGTGCAATCTACTTCAGAATTGTAGTTAGAAAAGGAAAATATAACTCTATCTTATTTATTAAGCCTTGGAGCCAGACATGATGGTGCATGCTAGTAATTCCAGCACTTGTGAGGCTGAGGCAAGAGGGTTGTAAGTTTGAGCCAGGCTGGGTTACGTAGTGAGACCCTGACATTTCCATCCTTTTATTTTTCTAGTACCACCTTGCAGCAATCTCTGAAATCCATAGGGTGTAGTAAAAGCACAGCTGAGAAAGCGTAGGCTGGCGTGGTATACAAACCATCAGCCTACAAGCACGTATGCATTCTCTCAAAGTAAACAATTATTGAGAAGTTTTGGCATATCCAATAAAATTTTAAATATCTAATTATGTGAAGTCTGAATAAACCAAATGTTTTAGTAAAATCCATAATAGATAAGTTAATATTATACATATAGTAAAGGCCATTGAAGATATTAAAATGAGAAACAATAGTATTTAAATGATCACTTAAGATACTTTATGTGAGAAATTAAGTTGATTACACATCAAGAATTTTCTGTAACTACTCTATTACAAAAAAACTGCATTTCAAAGTGATTTTGCACAATAAAAACCATAAAGCTATATTTTTTCAAATGCCAGGTAGTGATCTACTAATAAGACATAAAATCAATTTAGTATTGTGACTACTATGCTAAACAGGGCATTAAATACAGAAGAGTACCATTTAGCTTTAGGTGTGTTTATATAATAAGTGGTGACATAACTGATTTTTTTTTTGAGACAGTGTCTCACTATGTAGCTTAGGCTGGCCTAGAACTCATAGTTCTCTTGTCTTAGCCTCCCAAGTGCTAGGATTATAGGTAGGTGTCACTGGGGCCTAGCTAAGATGCATTTCTTACTTTGGGCCACAGTCTAAAAACTGAAAAGTACTGCCTTAAGATGAGCAATTTACAATACAGTTTTATATTTTTTGTATACTTTTGGAGAAATATTAGCATTTTATTAGTATTTTATACTTATAGTGTCTTGAACACAGCAAGAGCTGTATCAGTATTTATCTACTGAATGATTTAAATGTTCAATTGTGCAAGTTACTGTCTATGTAATTTAGATATATATACTAGTTGCCTTGAAAAAATTTACCTCCCATAAAGAGGCTTCTTTTCTATTAGAAGATAATTCAAATTAGTAATTCCTATTAGTAATTATACTTGTAATTGCTAGTAATTTATATTGCTAAATAAATTACCAGGTTGGATTATATTTAAGGATTTGACCCTACTTACTTCAGAGGGCCTCTGTAAAGGTGAGTGAGGTTTAATACAGACCTAGGATCCTCTAATTCTCATTGCAGAAGTGGATGAAAATAGTTTATTGGAGTATAGTAAACAAAGAATTTAACTCCCTTCCCATGAAGTTAAGCAGGAGTTCTACACAGTTCCTGGAACTCAAGTATTTAAAAGATTGCGACACAAAGCCATAAAAGGAATGAAATTGGTTCTCAGTAAGCAACTGCAATTATGTAAACATGCACACAGCACAGCCTGTCCATGGATTACGATCCTTTCCTTACTTGATACACCTTTTTGTAAGTTTAGGTAAATAAACCTCATAAGCTTTTGCTTTTTTCCACATACTCTCCTAAAACTTCAAAAAGGGAGGGATGACTTTGTGGCAGTTTACTTTCTACAGTACCAGTGTCCAACAAAAATAGGCAGAATTAATTTAATATTATATTCTATACTGCACAGTATATTCATCACTTCAACATCCCATCAACAAAAATATTGGCAAAACGTCTTATGTTTTGACAATCCATTGTGTATTTTATATTTACAGTATATCTCAATTCAGATTACTCATATTTCAATGCTCAATAGTCACCATGTGGTTGGTGGTTACTATGTTAAACAGTGTAGCTCTAGAAACTATTCATCCTGAAGTGTAACAGTAAAGGACTTGCACCCTGAGTTTGATGGAATCAATGCCAAATTAAGACAGACTTGAAGCAATCATGTCTGTGTTTTTGATACAAAGACTGGCATGGTCAGTATGAGATTGTAAGATTTCTGTTTTATTTCTACCAGCTATACTGTACACAAACTCTTACAATCCATTTTTATAATAGAAGATAACTTTGTGAAACACTAACGAATGTACTTTCCTTTTTGGTTTCACTTGGAAAAATATGTATTAATCAAGCTAGTAAGAAAAAGAAGAAAAGCAGAGTTGAGGGTGTGGCTCAAGTGACAGAGTGCCTATCTAGCAAGAGTGAGGCCCTGACTTCAAACCCCAGTATCATCGAAAATGAAAAAGAAGGCCAGAGAAGAGAAGACAAGAAATACAAACACTAAAATATGACCCAGGGCCTCTCACAGGCTAGGTAAGCACTGTACCACTCAGCTCTATACCCTCAGCCCCTAAAATTTAAATCTTAATACATAAGATCTAATTGGATCTTTTCTTTAAAAGCATTGAAAGAAGTATCTTGAATGCTTAAAAGAAAAACAAATATAATTTAAGCGAATCCCAGTTTCTTAAACAAAAATTTACTATAAGCTCATTAATAAGTTAATGATATTTGTGGCTCACAATGGGGACTTACCAAGTTCTGCTAAATTTCCAAATGCAACAAGACACATTTCTGTGAGAGCTGCGTTGTGGCAGTGGATACCCAGCAATTTGACTAAGGTAGGGATAACACCCATATTGATAAGCTGTGCTTGAAGGGAATCTGTAAAAAAAAAAAAAAAAAAAAAAGAAAAGAAAAAAAAGGGAAAAGTATTCATACATCAAATGAGTTAGTAAGAAGAAATTACAAGTTATTCTCTGTAGTGTAAACTCAATTCTCTTTGAATTACAGTGAAAGGAAATGAAGTCCATTAATAAGATTGATTTGAACACTTACATTAGTTTAGAAGAGGTGAATTTTGAATCTTTTTAATGACAAATAAAAATTCAGAGATGAACGTAATTTAAAGAATATATCAAATAATTAGCTGTTTTGTTTTAAAATAGGGTCTTATGACCTTTAGTGATCAGGCTTTTGAGATGTATAAACAATTAAATATTACCACTGCTTTTTTAAATGTAAGGGTAAACAAATATTTTCATTATAGAAAATCACAGAATATATGAAAGGCCTAAGGAGAAAAACAAGTTGAGCAACACTAGGAAAGGAGGCAAAAATCTTAGAGTCCTTTAAATACAGTTGCTTCATAATAAGAAATGAAAAGTATACACTATATAAAATGATTGGTTCTGTGTATTTGCAAGCAGAGTGCAGTTTGATGACTGCTAGAAAGGCATGTACTTTTAACAAAGAAAAAATGAGTTACCTAAAATATTTTTCTTTTCAAAGTTTTATTTAGTTACAGTGGCAGATCATCTCAGGAAAAGAGATGGCTTGAAGAGGTGAAGAGAATGAGGTCAAGGTGACCTTATCGTCAATGTCTGCCTTCATTTTCTAAGCAAGTAATTTAAGGTACTAAACATGTCTTAGATTTCCACAATGGTTCTTCATGGTCAGTGATAATAGAATACCTATAGCAAGGTTGAAGGCAAATTAACCAAAATGAAAACCAAAAGTGCTGTCTCTTAGAATAAGCAGAAGAAGAAAGACATTATCATCCATATATTTGTACAAAACACTACTACTGTAGATAACTGAAAGGTTCTTTAAATTTTTTTCTCATTAAAATTATATGCCATTTTCAAGCTAACAATTTTCTCCAAATCCTATTACCTATTTGGGATATAAAGGCAAACTCTACTTCTGTTTTTACAAAGCATATTCTCCTCATAGCACCAATCCCTTGATAGGGTTTGCTTGCTCATGTCTATTATTACTCTTCACAGTTCTTAACCTGAAGATAAGTGAGTGGGTAATTGTCAGAACAGAACACAAAGACAGGGTTAAGCTGTCTTATATGCCAGTTTATTACTTGGCTGGTGGTCCTTGTTATTAGTTCTTCCTGGCTTTTAGAGTGAGGTAGGAAGCAATAGCCAATAGTGGCTTACTGCCCCTGAAAAAGTGGTGAGTAGTTTAATTGAGATACTTATCTGGTTTGGTCTATACTGGAAAGGGGCCAGTTACTAACACAAAAACAGAAGATATACCTGAGAAAAAAGGTTAGTTCAAATTGTCTAATAAAACACTTCAAGTTTTGCAATGGAATTATGAAGCTTATTCTAACAGGAGATAAAAAATATATTCAATTGAATGATGTTTTTCTACTTTTGATGTAAAATTTCCCGAGTATACAATGCAGTAATGAATAAATGATTCACAATATTTATAGGCAAAATATCTCTAAGATCTAATGTTATGCCTGTATGTTACATGGGCAGAATACCTGCATTATGATTACAGTATTTATAACAATCATGCACCAAGGAGCTTACCAAGTTAGAAATTATTTTGATTACTCACCAGTAGAATTCTTTATTAGTAGATCACCTCTGTATTTCCTTGTTCTTTAGAAGTATTTTTACTTATTTACTCGTTTTTTACTAGCTCATTGAATACTGCAGAGCTGCTGAATCATTAAATTTCAGGTATGTAAGCGTGAGCACGAGCGCATGCATTGAGTGTGAGTCAAACTCTGCTCGATGTCTGCATATATGTACGCATCACACACCCCCTCAGTACTGTTGGGATGAACTTTATAGAAATCCAGCAGTCCAGGGACATCAGAGGAATAACAAACTTTATGAAGGAGAGAACTCAATAGGGAATGCCACTTAGAAGATGATGCTCTTCACGTTTTCCTAACTTGGCATCTCTCACCATTTTCTAGGGCTGCTTTAAAAATTCTATAAATTTTGGTTCCAGGGAAAAGAGGGGCAAAAAGTTAAAAAAGGTTACAGAGCTTAACAAAATATTTGGTATACAAGTTGCACCAGTAACATCTGAAATTGTAGGAAATCAGGAGGAAAAGTAGCACAGCTAAATGCCAATTGGTGTGAATCACCATAATTCATGAAAATCATGTTATTTTGAAAAAATATTTTATAACTACTCAGGAGCCAAATTAATTATATACTCACATACAACACAAATACCACACACAAGAGAAAAATATATAACCATCCAATTGGACAGACTCATTTTGGACCAATTGGGTGTTTTATTTTCTATCTACTTCTATTATGCTAACTAAAATAATAACAAAACTCAAATAACTCTAAAATTTGTTCACACTTATATAAGAAACTATCCTTCAATAATGAAGGCCTGGGACGTGTGTGTGTGTGTGTGTATGGGTCTGTGTGTGTGCAGACCTTTATTCAAACAGTTTGATACAAATGTTCATTTCATTGATAAAAAGGCATCTAAGATGTGTCTCTCAAAGTAGGATTCCTAAAACCCTTTCAGAAGATTACAAAATCAAAATTCTTTTTATAAGAATATCAGGATTTTTTTTTCTTTTTCACTATGTTGACATTTGCAATGATGGAGCAAAAAGAATGGTAGCTTGAATCCAGGAAATGATAGCAAATTGTATATTCCTCACCATAACATAGTCACAGTAAAAAATGCTATTTGTCTCTATAATACTGTTTTTGAAAATACTTTTCTTAAGATACTACATATATTACATATGATAGTTTTATAATTGTTTTAAAATGTGATACTAAATCCTTTGAAATAACTTATATATCTAACATAGACCTTATACTTTTTGAGGTATCTAAAGGGTCGAGAGACCAAAGTTTCAGAACCACTGTCAAAGGATTACCTAATGTTTATGAGAGTCATGGGGAGGAAGGAAGAAAATATGAAAGACATTCTAAAGTTCAAAGACGTGCTTGGTAGATGTGATAATAGGTAAAAAGGAAATAAAAATTAAAAGCATGTTATAATCCTAGATTTTGACGCTCAGATATTCTGAGAGAAATTAACTTAAAGCACTTCGGTTTCTCATCTTTTTATTTGAATAGGGGCTTTATTTAAGCCTTGAAGAATATTCCAAATTTAGTCTAATTATTTTCAGTTACAACTTGCTATGTTGCCATTAAGTAGGCTTTTAAAAACAAGTAGGAGTTCTGTTTGTGCAGGATAATGTAGTATTAATTCTTATCAATGGAAGCAATGACTACTTTGTTTTTTTTTTAATTGTCCAAAGAAAATTTGTGAATGTTCTTCAGAGGACATACTAGTTGACACGCATGCTGTCATTAATGTAATGGGGAATATTATTTTTAAATGAAAGAGTAACAGGAAGAAATTCTTTAACCAAAAACAGAATACGCTGGAACAAAGTTTGTGAAACAACTGCAAGACTAAGACTTTAGCATCCCTCAATAAACACCAGCAACTCCAGGGGAGTGTTTATCAGAGCTCAACAAACACAGCATTTCACAAAAATGCATCCCAGGCCCATACACAGCAAACACTTATGTGTGAAAGACAGTCTTTAGACAACACAATGTCATAAACATCTAAAGATTTTTTTTAAAAAACTGCTCCTGACACACATCACAGACAAATACTGACCAAAATACAGATTTACAAAATTACATAATATCAACATGACACAGGCCCTACATGATCTATGGGGGGGAAGAGGAAGAAAGGCACTGAGGGGGTGCAATACAGATGCATATACAAAGAGATATAAGGCAATCAACACATGCGCTGGTGTGAACACTTACCTACCTACATTTGAAATTCAATGGTTCCAAGTTCTTCAGGTCACACTCTTGGAAACTCCAAAGAATGGAGATCTGGAGAGAAGATCTCAAGTTGAGGAACCTCTTTCCTCCTGAGTTTTAAGTTTCATGTTTAAAACATTGGTATAGGCTAGATTATAGGTCCAGAAAAATAAGCTGAAAATTCCAGTAACTCAATTGAAGTTATGTTGATCAATTAAGTTTCTTAAGAAGATTTTAACAGGATAATCTTATTCCTAAAACCGTTACAGCCAATGTTAGAAGATTATTAACCTTATTGGCAAATAGGATTTTAGGATGAAACTGTGTCAAAATAACACACAATTCAAAATAGTCTTTACATTGTTTTGTATATATGGTATGTATATTACTCATCGTATAATGATATATTGCTATGTATTGGCTTGCATTAAGAACCCAATCTACAGTCAAATGAGTTGTAATCAGTGGAAACTGAAAACCTATCTTGAAGTCTTGATGAAAAATCTAATACAAGCTGGCTAAAAACCATTTGAACATAATAAAGATTGAAGAAAACTGCCTTTGACTTAATTGAATATCTGTATTTATAAAAACAGGATATGAAAAGTAAAAATTAGAAATGATTTAGCAGTGAAGTGGCATTTCAGACTTTCAGCAGGTTTTAGTTCTAACACTGAAAAGGAAACTGATGTAAACACAGCTACTGAGAGTATGACTAGTGTTAAGTGTGCACACAAACGTGCAGACACAAGAAATGACTCCCTTTTGCAGTTTATTATTCAGTATCCTTTTGGTGGTTGATCAGGAAAGTAGAGAAGTCTCATTGTAAACCTAGTGTTGAGAATATAAAACCAGACTTACATGTGTTTAAAATCAACTTCGAATCCATTATTTTTAAAAGCCTTTTTACTACACAGAACATGCATATGTGTTTTGCACCCAGGTAACAGCATTAATCACTCAGATATGTATTTCAATGACACATGGGGATTTCATAAAGAAAAAAGGAAATCAAGATTTTTAGCATTAAGAATATTAACATTGGAGGGTCAAAACAATACATTTCTACTAACGGTT